ATATATATATCATCAATGTGGTTTTGTGTATGATTGAAAAATGATTTTTGCTTAAATTCAATTCAAACGTAATACTGCATATTATACCTATTTCACTAAAAGGGTGAATATAATAATCTCCCTTTCTGACCACAAAAATGTGCAATAGGACATATGATGTTGCTGTAAACATTTATTGTATTAACTTACACAAACCTGCATCATAACTTATCGACTTGTGTTTTTCGATAAATCACACATCAAAGTAAAAATTTTAATAAAATGTGACTTTTTAAACTACACTGTGTTTTTCTTTACAGCTGAAAACCAATGTTAAACTGAATAAATACATTAAGACCATTGGACTACCAAAGAAAGATGGACAAACCCCTGCTAACGTTAAATGTGCTGTTGCTGGCTGGGGCAGGACTGGACCCAATAAGCCTACTTCAAATGTTCTGAGGGAGACCACAGAGACGGTACAATTCAGCTCAGAGTGCCAAAGCATTTGGAGAAAACATTTCAACTCTCTGCGTATGATCTGCACCAAGTTCGACAAAAAGAAGGGAGGAACATGTGAGGTAATGAAACTTTTATAAAGTGAATAATACACTTTAAAATAAAAATACACAAGTAATAGCATCATACAAACTGAATTTATTTATGAAAAATAAAAACCTAATATTAGTAATTATGTGTTCCTCCTGCCATTTGTTTAGGGTGATTCTGGTGGACCACTTATCTGCAACACCAAGCTTCAAGGATTAACTGCGTACTCTGCTATAAATGAATGTGACAATCCAAAATATCCCCATGTTTTCATTAAAGTCAGCTTCTTCCTTCCCTGGATCAACACGGTGATGAATAATTCAAACTAATGCAATGAGAGCTTTCTGCAAGGAAAAAAATGYTGAAGAGAAAACAGATGTAATTGTCTTGTATGTGCCTGAGAGAGAGAGAGAAAAAACTACAATAAAATATTTTTGTTTTTGTTTGTCTCTTCATTTCTCAAAGCAGTTTATCTGTAAATGGGTTTAATCAATTATTTACAGTCAATTTTACAAGTTTAGACCCAGCCACAGAAAGTGGTGGCGTGTTGTTTTCTGTGAGCCTGAGGATGAGTTGAAGTGGAAAAAAACGCAAAAATGAAACCACAAACAGCCCGCATGCAACCATGGTTTTTAGTCATAGTGCAAACTTTTGAAGTTGAATCTCTTTCTGTCTGTGAAACCAGTCATCTGTAACAAAAAAATAAAAATAAATAAATAAAGAAAATATACACACAATGCGTTCTGACAATCTCATTAGTTTCCAAAAATAAAAATAAAAACTCACCTGACTTGGATCTCGGGTGAAATATCTCTTCTCTATTACCTGTAAAGAGCATTTATTATAAATTCAGAAATATACATAAGACACAATTTACACTGACAATTAAGTCCGGAATGAAGCATATTGTTTGATGCTATTTTAAAATGTTTAAATTATATTGGATCTCTAAGGGTACAACAGGAAAATTTTTGTTTTCTTCTCCAACTGAGGATGACTTTTGAGCTACCCCACATCAATATATGTATTTTTCAGACCTTTGAAGAAAGTTTGAGCATATTTAGCATCTAATATGTGAGAACAAATAATAATAATGAGAATTCCTGATATATATATA